AATTGCTTTTCCTCCACTGTGGCCCATTCCTCTTCCACTTCTGAACTATTGTTGAGCATTAAATTCTGCATCAATTTTATTCTCTGTAATTCATTCTGTAGACCCTGAAACATGACTTTGTTTCTCTCTCCACGGATGCTGTCTGACCTGCTGCGTAATGCCGGCATTTTTATTTCAGATATCCAACAGTATTTTGGTATTTTATTGCAGATGCTTCACTCAGAGGCAAGTCTAGAAAAACAGAAGCAGGGTGGGGCAAGTCAGAGCCAGTTTGTATCGCGGTGGCTGTTGGTTGTAGAGGTTGTTTCCTGCCTTCCAGGGCAAGTCACTTTTCACTCTGTCACAGAATTATTGAGTGACTACAATGCAGAAGGAAGCTATCCAGCCCATTGTGCACTGCTGGCTCACCGCAGAGTAAATCAACTCACCCACTGCCCTGGCTGCACCTGGGAGCCCAGTTTTTACTCTTCAGCTGTTTATCCAATCTCCTTTTGAAAGGCTTTGTCACATCAGTTTGATCTGCAGTGGAGATGGAGGAAAAGAATTTGAATTTAATCTGAAGACTTTGGAAATTTATAGGGCCCAGCAAGTGAGGTAGATCCTAGGGGAGCTAAGATTGCTAAATAGCCTCTGTCCATACCATCTTGTTTTACGAACAAGTATTTCTGTAGAAGGACTCTTTGATGCCACACTCACCTGAAAGCCTTGATGCCAAGTTCAGTTGCTTCGGCAGAACGAAGGTCTGGAATGAGGGCAGGGGTCAGGTAGCACTGTTATTTTGATGTAATTGTGGCTTGTGCTGTAGCTACACTGGATATTTAACACTATCGTTAACTTGTATAACACAATCAAATCATTCTGCAAAATAATTTGTTCAAAAGGAGATCAAGCCCCAGTTTCATCAAACTTACCTTAAAATTAAACTTCCTCACTCCTTGAATGGAATGGAGGGAGTGAAGTTTGTGGAAGGGACAAAACACTATGGTTTCAATCTTCTCAATAGAGTCATACAGAGTGGAAACAGGCCCTTAGGCGCAATTAGTCTATGCCAACCAAGTTTCCCAAACTAAACAAGTCGCATTTGCCTGCTTTTGGCCCATATCTGAGTAAACCTCTCCTATCCATGTATCTGGCAGTTTGTTCTATACATGCACCACCTTCTATGAAAAAGGTGCCCCTCAGGGCCCTTTTAAATCTTTCTCCCCTCAATTTAAACCTATGCCCTCTAGTTTTGGACTCTGGGGAAAAGGCCTTTGTTATTCACCTTATCTATGCCCCTCATGATTTTATAAACCAAGACTAAAATAGAAGAAATTTGTGTTCATCCTGTACTAAATGTCCGACAAGCCAGGACACTGTGTGCCTGGGAAGGAGCTTGGAGGTGATGGTGTTCAAATACACCTGCTACCCTGGTCCTTCAAGGTGTTGGAGGTTGAGAGTTTTGGAGATTCTGTCAGAATTCTATTCGCGTTGTTGACAGATAAAATCTTTCTCCTTCACGGCTGCCTCTTACTCTGTTCTCCCACCAGAGTCTTGTGTTTGTCCATACCGAGTGGCAGGTTTTCTTCCCTGATGGACAATGGAGAACCAGTTATTGTTTTATCACGATTCAGCAGTTTTCAGGGTCACTATTTCCTCGTGCCAGCCCTGCAAATTGACATTTTAATTCAGTACAATTTCACAACATGTCTTTATGTTTTCTTTTGTTGTCTGTCGCTCTGTTTATTTCTTTTTAACATCGATTTCATAGGGTATTGGGGGAGGGGGAAAGATTTACAGCTGGGAAACTGAAACCAAACATCACATCAGCATCTGTTGGAGTCACACAATTTACTGTGACCTGCATATAATTGTATTTTGATGGCAGGTGGGAGTAACACCATTGACAGTGGGGAGAAACCATTCCTGTATTAGTGTGGTCAAGGCTTTGGTAGACTATTTGGTCTGTCAGGACATAAATACAGTCACAACAGGGACAAACCATGGAAATGTGTGAAGGGATTCAAATATCCCTGTCAGCTGGACACTGACAATAAATGCTGGCCCAGTCAGCAGTACCCACATTGTACGATTGAATAATAAATATTAATTCAAGTTTTCATCTGAAGGTTGCACAATTTCAGTGTATTGCCAGCATTTTCCATGTTAATTTAATATTTTCAGCATCTGCCACTAATTTCCTTTCTTTTCAACCAGTAAATGTGAGAGTGTGGAACTTATTATATTGAGTTTGTGAGTTGGAAACTCTCGGGTACAATCACATTCATTCATTGAATGCAAAAAAGGATTAGTTACCCCATTTAGAACAAAGAACATAGAACAGTACGGCACAGGAACAGGCCCTTTGGCCCACAATGTTGTGCCAAACACGACACCAAATTAAACTGGGAAAGATTCTGATCATCAACCCTACCTATGCATCTCATAATTTTACAGACTTCTATCAGCCTCCACTGCTCCAGAGAAAACAACTTGAGTTTTTCTGGCCTCTCCTTATGTCTCATACTCTCTAATCCAGGCAGCATACTGATAAACCTGTTGTGCACCCTCTCCAAAGCCTCCACATCCTTCCTGTAATGTGGCAACAAGAATTGAACGCAATACTCTAAGTGTGGCCTAACCAAAGTCTTATAAAGCTGCAACAAGGCATCCTGACTCTTGTACTCAATTCCCTGAACAATAAAGGCAAGCATGCCATACGCCTTCTTTACCACCCTATCTACTTGTGTGGCCACTTTCAGGGAACTATGGACTTGAACCCCAAGATCCTTCTGTACATCAGTGCTGTTCAGGGCCATGCCATTAACTGTATACTTTCCTTTAACATTTGTTCTCCCAAAGTGCAGCACCTCACACTTACCCAGATTAAGCTCCATCTGCTACTTCTCCACCCATGTTTGCAACTGATCTATATCCCACTGCATCTTTTGACAACATTCTACACCATCCACAACTCCACCAATATTTGTGTCAACTGCACACTTACTAACCCAGCCATCTACATTTTTATCCAAGTCATTTTATCACAAACAGCAGAGCTCGCAGTACGGATCCCTGCAGTACACCACTACTCACGGACCTCCACCACTACCCTCTGCCTTCCATAGACAAGCCAGTTCTGAATCCACACAGCCAAATCACCATGGATCACAGCACAGTTACATGTGGCGTGGTAGCTCAGTGGTTAGCACTGCTGTCTCACAGTGCCAGGGACATGGGTTCAATTCCACCCTTGGGTGACTGTCTATGTGGAGTTTGCACATTCTCCCCATGTCTGCATGGGTTTCCTCCTCCAGGTGCTCCAGTTTCCTCCCACAGTCCAAAGATGTTCAGGCTAGATGGATTGACCATGCTAAATTGCCCCATAGTGTCCAGAGATGTGCAGGCTAGGTGGGTTAGCCATGGCAAATGCAGGGTTACAGGGATTGGGTAGGGGAATGGTCTGGACAGGTGCTCTTCGGAGGGTTGTGTGGATTCAATTGACTAAATGGCCTGCTTCCACACTGTAGGGATTCTGTGATTCTACACAAGAAGGAAATGGTAGTGATTGTAATGAGGTTAGCCAGGTGGCCCTCACATAGTATGAGTACCTGACTGGGTCTATTAATCTATTCCAATCAGGGAGGTCTGGCTGACAGATAAAAAGAGGAGTGTCAGACTTAAGGGGAGGCGATGGCCTCATGGAATTATCACTAGAGTGTTAATTCAGAAACTCAGCTAATGGTCTGAGGACCTGGATTCTAATCATGCCATGGCAGATGGTGGAATTTGAATTCAATAAAAAAAAATCTGGAATTAAGAATCTACCAATGACCATGAAACAATTGTTGATTGTCCGGAAAAAACCCATCTAATGTCCTTCAGGAAAGGAATTCTGCCAGTCTCACCTGGTCTGGCCTACATGTGACTCCAGACCCACAGCAATGTGATTCACTCTCAACTGCCCTCTGAAATGGCCCGACAAGCCAATCAGTATAAGATCAGCTAGGAATGGCCAGCCAGTGACACCCATGTCTCACGAGTGAATAGATGAAGACTTCCTGACGTTCTGAGGGAGCTGGACCAGCGTCAAGGATTTTTCACACGTAAATAAAGGGTGACTTGGTGAAGGGGTACCAGCCTCTGTGGAGTTATTTCAGAGAAAATTCAGATTCTTCAGACATGTAAAGGAATCCTCGCAGTTTTTCTCAGCTGTTAAACCTTCAGCTTGATATGTTCAAGGGATTTGATACACAATCAATACAATCTCTGTGGGGGGGGGGGGGGGGGGGGGTGGTGGGAAATGTCACTGGTGTACACAACCCACTGATTTCGCAGCTGACATTCGAGTATGTTTCCTCTGTGCAGATCCAATGTCATTAATTCCGGTACAAATTGGCTTAATTAGCTTATAGCTGATGCAGTTGATCACAGACCCATTATATTGTATCGATAGAGAAGATGATTCAATTGCGGTGCTTAAACTGAGAAGGAGAATTAACCCAGAAGGCGGCACCAGCTGCTTCGGTGCAGTGGGCCCAGTGTTGAGTTTGGGCGCGCTGCGGGACCAGGAAGCTTCGTTGGCAGCTGCGATGCCAAGACCAGCCCAGCGCAGACTCCTGGAGGGGACGAGGTCAGTGGAGGCACAATGGTGCTGTAGAACGGGTTCTAGCAGCAGCATGCCTCCATGACTGGGCCCAAGTACCTGATGGAAGGCAGTGGTGTTCCAGCTGCGGCAACATGCGGGGATTCAGGGCACCTGAGTGTCCGAATACTGTGGGATAATCTTTGTGGCTTCATTTTTCTGTCAGCGAGGGCTCATGTAGCTGGAATGATCTGGACATTTCCTTTCCTTTTGGCTATTTCTTTTATTTCTGCTTCTGTTTTTGTTTTGAATCATGTCTTTTGTATTGTAAGATAGCGCCTAAGAATGTTGACTTGTACACTTTTCACCGTATTCCTGTACTCGAGTCTTCGTGATAATAAAATCTAATACTAATTCTGTCTTCACTGCCAACAGCAATATGCAAGCACTGTGACTGGAGCGTGCAGCAGTGTCAGTCTAGGAAGGGTTGGAACTGGAGCCAAGGCTGACCTGCAAAAGGATCGGAGACAGCAGATGAATGAGTGAGGAGTGACGGAGCCTGTGAGGGAGACTTCATAAACATCTGGTATTGGCCTCAGACTGCAAATGATAAGCTCCCAGTCCCACATTTGCATGAGAGTTCCCGGTGTGTGGCTTTTTCTGAGAAGAAGGCCGTGGGTTTACCGCTGCCATCTTTATGTGGGGCAATTGGCAGCAAGGTACCTGTGTTGCCCCCATCTTTATGTGGGGCAATAGGCAGCAAGGCACCTGTGTTGCCCCCATCTTTATGTGGGGCAATGGGCAATGAGGTCCATGCGCTGCTGGGCCATGTGCCTATGTCCCAGAGTGAAGTGAATGTACATAACTGATGAAGTGAGTGAATGTGTAAAGAGTGTGAATATCTCAAGTGCACCTTGTACATGCTAGACCCTGCTGCAAATTTGCATTGGCAATGGAAAGAATTAAACATTTGTGGGCGTAGTGCCTATCCAGAAGACTGCTTTGCCCTGTGTAGTGTCAATATTCTTGAGTATCACTGAAGCCACGCTCATCCAAGCAAATGGGGACTATTGCATCCTCATCCTGAAGTGTGCCTCCACACACAGTCACCTGAGGCTGGAAGTGAACCTGGGTTCCTGGCACTGTGAGGCTAACGACTAAGCCACCATGCCACCTTTTAAACAGAACTCACCCCCATCAAGATTTGACATAACATGTTAACAGCACAAGTGACAGCATCTGGATTTGAACCCATGCCTACTTTGAGACTGGAGTCTAAATCCAGCACCTTAGACCACTCGGTCATGCTACCACACAGCCACAAAATTTATATGGCTGATTCAATGCAGTTTCTAGTCAATGGTAAACCCCAAATTGTTGATTGTGAGGGATTCTGAGATAGTGCAATTGAATGTCAAGAGCAGATGGTGAGACTCTTTCTTCTTAGAAACTGTCCATTCCTGACATATGGGTGGCTTGAAAGTTACTTGCTGCTTATCAGCCCAAGGTAGAATGTTATCTAGGTCTTTTATTTTAATTCATTCATGAGATGTGGGTATTGCCCATCCCTAGTTTGCTCTTTACGGACTGGGAATACTTCATGATTTGAGTGGTACAGAGCATTGTGCAGTCATCACCAAACACCCCCATTTCTGATTCTGTGCTTGGGCAAAAGTCATTGATGAAGTAGCTGCAGGTGCTGGATTTTGGACAGTACCATCTGCAGTGATGTCCCATGTCTGGGAGAATTAAAGTCCAGCAACCATAATCATCAGTCTTCGTGCTCGGTATGACTTCAACCAGCAGAGAGTTTTCCCTGGGTTACGATTTACTTTGATTTTATGAGAGCTCCCTGATGCTTTACTGAGTCAAATGGCACCTTGACTTCAAAAGCAGCCACTCTCACTGCACCTCTGGAAGGTCAGCTATTTTGTTCATGTTAGATCCAAGGCTTTAACGAGTTCAAAATACAAGAAAATTTTCTTATTCAGTGTGTGGATGTACCTACTAGAAGAGGAGCAAAACCTGACCTTCTCTTGGGAAATAAAGCAGGGCAAGTGACTGAGGTGTCAATGAGGGAGCATGTTGGGGCCAGTGATCGTAATTCTGTTAGTTTTAAAATAGTTATGGAAAAGGATAGACATGATTTAAAAATCATAGTTCTAGACTGGAGGAAGGCCAATTTTGACGGTATTGTTAAGAAATTTCAAAAGTTGATTGGGGGGTGGATATTCGCAGGTAAAGGTATGGCTCAAAAGAGGGAAGCCTTCAAAAATGTGATAATGCGAGTCCAGCATAGAGTCATACAGCATGGAAATAGGCCCTTCAACCCAACTCGTCCATGCTGACCAGGTTTCCGATTTCCAAAACTGAACTAGTCCCGTTTACCTGTGTTTGGCCGAAATCCTTCTAAACCTTTCCTATCCATATACCTGTCCAAATGTCTTTTAGATGTTGTAATTATACCCACCTCTACTCCTTCCTCTGGTAGTTCGTTCCTTAAATGCACCACCCTTTGTGTGAAAAAGTTGCCCGTCAGGTCTCTTTTAAATCTTTCCCTCTCACCTTAAACTTATGCCGTCTACTTTTGTACTGGGGAAAGACATTGACTTTTCATCTTATGTATGCCCTTTATGATTTTATACACTTATCTCAGGTCAGACCCTCAGCCTCCTATGCTCCAGGGCATAAAGTCCCAGTGTATGCAGCTTCTTTTATAGCTCAAACCTTCCAGTCTCAGTAACATTCTTGTATTTATATTCTGCACCCTTTCCAGTTTAATAACATCCTTCCTATAGTAAGGTGGCCAGAATTGTACACAGAACACCAAATGTCTCCTTACCAGTGTCTTGCACAGCTGTGACATGATGCCCCAACTCCTGTACTCAATGCTCTGACAGATGAAGACAACCATACCAAACACCTTCTTCACCACCCTGCCTACCTGTGAAGTCATTTTTAAGGAAATATGTACCTGCAACCCAGGTCTCTTTGTTAGACGACAATCATCAGGGCCCTATCACTAACTCTGTAAGTTCTGCCTTGGTTTGTCTTACCCAAATGTAACACCGTACAATTATCTGCATTAAACTCCATCTGCCATTCCTTGGCCCACCAGTCCAGTTGATCAAGATCTCTTGTAATCTTAGATAAACTTCTTCACTGTCCATTATACCACCAATTTTGGTGTCATCCGCAAATTTACTAACCACGCCTCCTATATTCTCATCCAAATTGTTTATACAAATGACAAACAATAGTGGACCCTGCACCAATCCTTGTGGCACACAGTTGGTCACAGGCCTCCAAACTGAACAACAACCCTCGACCTCTACCCTCCGTCTCCTACCGTCAAGACAATTTTGTATCCAATTGGCTAGCTCTCCCTGGATCTTACTAACCAGTCTACCATGCAGAACTTTGTCGAAGGCCTTGATAAAGTCCATGTAGACAACATCCACCATTCTGCCTTCATCCATCTTATTGGTCACCTCATCAAAAAATTCAATCAAATTTGTGAGACACGATTTCACAAGCTCAAAGCCATGCTGACTATCCCTAATCAGTCCTTACCTTTCTAAATGTATGTGGATCCTGTCTCTCAGAATCCCTGCCAACAACTTACCCACCACAGAAGTTAGGCTTGCCAGTCTGTAGTTTCCAGGCCTTTTCTTGCAGCCTTTTTTAAATAATGACACACTATTAGCCACTCTCCAGTCTTCAGGCACCTCACCCGATTGTCGATGATATAAATTCCTCTGCTTGGGACCCCGCAATTTCTTCCCTGGTTTCCCACAATGTCCTGGGAAACACACAATCAGGTGTTGGGGATTTATCTACCTTGATGCATTTTAAGACCTCCAGAACCTCCTCTTGTATGATGTGGTCTCTTTTCAAGACTAATTATTTATTTCCCCAAGGTTTCTTACTTCCATGTTATTTCCACTGTAAATACTAACGATAAATATCCGTTTAGGATTTCACCCATCTCCAGGGGCTCCATGCATAAATGACATTGCTGACATTTAAGGAGCCCTATTCTCTCCCGACTTAATCTTTTGTCCTTAATATACGTGTAGAATCTCTTTGGATTCTCCTTTATCTTATCTGGCAAAGCTATCTCATGTCCCCTCTTTGCCCTCCTGATTTCCCTCTTAAATGTATTCCCACAGCCCCAATACTCCTCAAGCATTGATAATATTATGGCTGATTTGATTGAAACCTCAAATCCACATTCCTGCCGAGCCCTGAAATTCTTTTACTCCCCCATTTAACAAGAATTTGAAATATTTGTTTTGAATTTTTATCCTGGTCAGAGTGACGACTTTTGAAATATAAAGGATTTGCAGATGAGAAACCCCAATTTGTACATCACATCTGACAGTGTCTGTCAATTTAACAGTACTGAATATTGAGTTTAAACACTGAGTTTAGAAACATTGCCACTCACTGTGAAAATGTGCTTTGAACATTCCCACGCATTGTGTGTAACTGTATTCTGACACATTCTCACATAGAGTGTGTGTAAATGTGTTCTAGGTCATTCCCACACACTATGCATAAATATATTTGGGGAAATTCTGCCCCATCAGTCTGGGGGACCTCCCATTCTTCACAATCTCTGGTTTGCACAGACCCAGATGCTCTGCGTCCCTGTGTGCAATGTCATTATGCAGTGACAGTTCCATGGTGACATCACCAACTCCCCAGGGATTTTGTCAACTGTGAGATTTTTCTCTGACTCCAATGGTTCTGATATCTTTCCAGATGCAGCTTCCAGGAGAAGATTTATTATGAAAACCATGAAATTGTTTGAGAGGTGAATATTTTTAAGCATTCATTTACAAGTTTGAACATTGAGTGCTTGCCTTTACTACCTGTGTGAGGTTCCATGGCTCTGTGGCCCCTTACTGTTATTTGAATCCATGTCCATCCATCACTCTGTTTCACTGCGCTCTCCCCGATCACCTCTCTGCCATTGCCTAACTTTTTCCACCTCTGACAATGTGTGTATTTTAGCTCTGTTTAGTATGTAACTGTTACTTCTATCAACTGTGTCTTAAAGAGGTTTCCATCGCTGCCTATCAGCTGACCACATGTTGCTGTCTTGCCAACTTTATCTTCCCGCAGTATATTTTACAGTCAGGACTTTTTCCTTATGTTATAGTCCATTCCTTTTCCACTTCAAGACCATCAAATTCAGCATCATTTCTATCCCCATAATTCATTCTGCACCGAGTGAAGGTGTCCCTACCTCTGAGCCAAGAGGGCTGTATGATGAACAAGCAGAGATAGCGATGGTTGTGAGGCTGGACTAGTTTGCAGAGATAGGCAGTGTTGTGAGGCTGGACGAGATGGCAGAGATAGGGAGGGTCCATGTAGCGATTTGAAAATAAGGGTGACAATTTAAAAATTCTTAACCCTGAGTCTTTGTCGAGCACCAGGGTCAAAAATCCTGGAACGCCCTTCCTCAAAGCTTTGGATTGTCCCTTCACACCAACAACTGCAGAAATCCAAGAAGGGAGCTCACCACCACATTCTCCATGCCAACTGGCAATGGAACATAAGCATTCACTAGCACTACCCACATCTCATGAATGAATACAATAAACTCTCAAACTTTGAAATTGAATTGAAGACCAAGTGTACAGCTACTTTTGATCTTCCCCACATTAAGTTGCTATTAATGGTAATTTAGATCAGTGTAACCTTTGACAGAATCATTTCTGATTATTTGCCACTTGTATTTACTCCAACAGAAACACCAGGCAACAGAAATTCCTTTGGGTCCAGAAACAAACAATGCATGGAGAGCTCAGTAGGTCAGGCAACATTCGTGGAAAGGACAAAAGGTTGCAAATGTTATTTGGACACTTTCTCATACCTTGCTTGATCTGAGAAAGGATCTGTACCTTAAAAAAGTTGACAAATTTCTTCAAAGATATTGATTCAATTTATATTCTATGGATTTTTAATTCCTGAGATACACTTGCTAATAAAAGACTCTTTTAGCACGTTTCTGGCCTGATATTTTAACTGCAGCATAATTGGTGATTAACACATTTAAAAGATCTTTCAGAATATACATCTGAATCATAAAACCTTGGATTCCATTGGTGGGTTGTAACCACTTCATCAACTTTTCCACCCTCATATAAAGATTCTTGTTGGTTTTAGAGAAAACATGACTGAGACACATTGAGGTTAAATGTCTGACACGGTGTGTACTATGGGACAAAGAAGTTTAATCTGAGTTAGAAACCCTGCAGACAGATTGTCATGGCAACACTGATCAGACTTTCCAATTCACAGGATCACTTCATGGGAAACTCAAAATAGATCAGGGAAAAGGACAGGGTTTATCTGTTATTAAACATAATATAAATTTCAAACAGAGACATTTATATCTATAGTTGTGAAAGTGTCAGAAATAACAGAATTAACAGCAGACAGGAGAGTTTAGGGTTAATGAGAAAATGACTGAAGGGGATTAACTGCCTGGAAGCAGGGAGCGAATCCTTGTTAATCACAGATTAGAGAAATTTCAGCAGTCTTTTCCTCCCTTCCTGCCAACCCCCAGCAGAGAAGGCAAAGAAGAGTCAGGGGCCAGAGCTGGATCACTACAGTGCAGAAAAGTGAGGGAATACTGATGTAAAGGGGCAGTCGGGACTGGAGACACTGGATATCAAGTCATAGAGAAATAGAGGTCTACAACATGGAAACCAGCCCTTCGGCCCAACTTGAGCATGCCGCCCAGTTTTCACAATAAATCTAGTCCCATTTGCCTGAATTTGGTCTATATCCCTTCCTACCGATCCCATCCATGTACCTGCCAAAATGTTTCTTAAATGACGAAATTGCACTCGCTTCCACCACTGCCTCTGGCAGCCCGTTCCAGACACTCACCACCCTCTGTGTGAAAAAAATTGCCCCCACCCCAATCTTTTTGCGTCTCTCCCCTCTCACCTTAAACCTATTCCCTCTAGTTTTACACTCCCCTACCCTGGGGAAAAATTGTTGGCTATCTACCTTATCTAAGCCTCTCATGATTTTCCATACCTCTATATATACCTCTCACCCCTCAGCCTCCTACACACCAAGGAAAGAAGTCCCAGCCTGCCCAACCTCTCCTTGTAACCTAAACCTTCCAATCCAGGTAGTATTCTAGTAAACCTTTTCTTTCAAGTTTAGTAATATCCTTTCCATAGTAGGGTGATCAGAATTACATGCAGTACTCCAAATATGGCCTCACCAATGTCTTGTATAGCTGCAACAAGATGTCCCAACTCCTACACTCAGTGCTCTGGCCAATGAAAGCGAGCATGCTGAATGCTTTCTTCACTACCCTTTCTACGTGTGACTCCATGTTCAAGGAGTTATAAACCTGTACCCCTAGATCTCTTTGTTCCATAACACTCTCCAGAGCCCTACCATTGACTGTGTACATCCTGACCTGATTTGCCTTAGCAAAATACAACACTTCACATTTATTTAATTTAAACTCCATCTGCCATTCCTCAGCCCACTGGCCCAGTTGATCAGGATCTCGCTGGATTCCTACATAGCCTTCTTCACTATCCACGATATCACCAATCTTAGTGTGTCAGCAAACTTACTAACCAGCCTCCTAAATTCTCAACCAAATCATTTACATAAATAACGAATAACAGTGGAACCAGCACTCATCCCTGTGGCGCACCGCTGGTTACAAGCCTCCAGTCTGAAAAACTCTCCGCTACCACACTCTGTCTTCTACCGTCAAGCCAATTTTGTATCCAATTGCCTAGCTCTCCCTTGATCCTGTGAGATTTAACCTTACTGAACAACATATCATGTGCTACCTTGTCAAAGGCCTTGCACTAGTCCATGTAGAAAACATTCACCGCACTGCCCTCATCTACTTTCTTGGTTACCTCCAGATGTATCTTCAAAAAACTCAATCACGTTTGAGACACACAACTTCCCATGCAGAAAATCATGCTGACTGTCCCAAATGAGTCTTTTCCTCTCCAAATGCCTGTAGATCCTGTATCTCAGAATCCCTTCTAAGAACTTACTGATCATGGACGTGAGGTTCACTGACCTGCAGTTCCCAGGCATTTCCCTAAGTTCCCTAGAATTGGTACCTTTCTTGACATTAAATAACAATGATAATTAGTCATTTAGGATGTCAGCCAGGTCTTGTGTCTCCGCACATAGATGACCTTGTTGATTTTTTAAGAGGCCCTATTCTCTCCCTAGTTACTCTTTTGCCCTTCATGTAATTGCAGCATCTCTTTGGATTCTCCTTTATCTTATCTGCCAAAGGTGCCTCGTGTGTCCTTTTAGCCTGACTGATTTTTCTCTTAAGTGTACTCCAATACCCTCTATACTCCTCAACGAAATCACTTGATCGCAGCTGCCAATAAATGTTCTCTGCCTCCTCCTTTTTCAAGACCAGTGCCTCAATAACTCTAGTAATCCAGAGTTCCCTATTCCTACCACCCTTACCCATCACTGTAACAGGAACATGCTGGGCCTGAACCCTCAATAACTCATTTTTGAAAGCCTCCCACTAACCAAACGTCCCTTTGCCTGCGAACAGCCTCCCCCAATCAACTTTTGAAAGTTCCTGTCTAAGACCATCAAAATTGGCCTTGCTCCAATTTAGAACCTTAATATGTGGACCAGACCTATCCTTTTCCATCGCTATTTTAAAACTAATGGAATTAGATCAAACTCAGGGAACCCTAGGATACATCCAGCAGCTGAGCCAGTGTAAGGGACTGGACAAATGGGCCTTGCATCTTTACTCTGATTGATGGATCAGTATAAGGTATGGTAGAGGGCAGAGCATCTGCTCAGGTTCTATTTCTTAAAAGGTGTTGAAGTTATCAATCCTGAACTCTCAAAGCTGTTAAGTAACAAGACAAGGTGTCAGCTAAAATCTTCCATCTCTTTCCTGTTCTGTTCCTCTAGACATTATCCTTTGTGATTTTTTTTATTTCTTCCAATTTAGCAATTCTACCACCTTTTTATGTTTTTGTGTTTAATTTCAAAAGATAGCTCATTAAAATTATAGAGTGGTGATGGGCAAACAAGATTTGGTGCGAGTCTGCACATGGGCAGCAGAGTTTTGGATGAGCTCGAGATTACAGGGACATTGAATGTGAGAGATTGGCTGGCAGTGTGTTATGCTAGATAAGTCTAGAGGTAACAACAGAATGGATGACAGTTTCAGCAGCAGATGAGCTGAGTCATGTCACTGAGATGGAAGCAGGTAATCTTGGTGATGATGGGGAAAAATCTCATAAAATCCCTACAGTGTGGAAGAAGGCCATTCAACCCACGGTCCACACATCAGTCGAATCCACTCTGACTCTCCAGAGGACATCCCACCCTGATCCAACCCCCTACCCATTTCCCATGGCTAATCCACCGAGCCAGCACATCCCTCGACATTATGGACAACTTAGCACAGCCAATCCACAGAACTTGCACATCTTTGGACTGTGGGAGGGAACTCATGCAGACATGGGGAGAATGTACAAACTCCACACATACAGAGATCTGAGGGTGGAAGTGAACCTAGGTCCCTAGCACTGTGAGGCAGCAGTGCTAACCACTGAGCCATCCTGCCACTCATCTTAGGGTAAAGCCTTTCACAATGGTTATGAAAAGCCTGATTCAGACTCAGACAATTCCCAGGGAGAGGGATGGAGTTGGTGGTGAGTAAGTGAAGTTTGCATGGAGGACTGAAGACAATCTTCCCTATATTTAAATGGAGGAAACTTCTGCTCATCCACAAATGGATGTCAGGCAATTTCAGAAAGTGTGTGACCTGTTTCTTCTGCATGGTGGAGCTTGGGAGGTTTTGTCAAAGTTCTAATCAAATTGTAGATGCATAAAATCACTCCCTCCTACCTCTCTCTCCAACTCCTCCCACAGAGACCAGAATCCTGTGTGGGCCCAGACTGAGCGGTAAGTTTCTGTACCTGAAGGACATCAAGTAGGTTTTTATGACAATGTAGAACGTTTCATGGTCACTTTTCCATAGTACCAGTCCCACAATTTTTAGATTAATTCATTTTAGAATCTGTCACTATATTTTTACTCTCGCCCGCGTTTTTCTACTCCAAATCAATATCACAGGGTTCCAGAACGAGAGGTCTTGCAGAAACAGGATCACATCAGGATATGTCTGTAATCTGAACATCATGGAATTTTGAACCTGGAAAGAAAAATCACCATTCATAGTGGGGAGAAACTGTCCACATTTTCTGTGAGTGAACGAGAATTCATCAATCATCTGACCCATTGAGACACAACTGCAGTCACTGTGGGGAGAAACCATTGAAATATGGGAACTGTGGAAGGGGATACAGGTCCCCATCTGAGCTGGAAACTTATCAACACAACCACAGTAGAGAGAAGCCATTAAGTGTGAGAAGGCATTCACTTACTTATCCATTTTGCCGAGACACCAGCGAGTTCACACTGAGGAGAAACCATTCGTCCGCTCCAAGTGTGGGAAAGGATTCACTGAGTTTTCCAATCAGTTGCAACACCAGTGTGTTCACTCTGACAAGAGATCCTTTGAATGTCCAGATTGCAGAAATTGCTGTAAACTTTCTGGGCACTTGGCATTTCATCAATGGCTTCGCACAGAGGAGAAACCATTCAGGTGCTCTCACTGTGGAACTGGGTTCAGGCGATCGTATGATGTCACTGTCCACCAGCAAATCCACACTGGTGAGAGGCTGTTCTTCTGCTCTAAGTTTGGGAAGGGATTCACTCAACTGTCTGATCAGCTCAAACATCTGCGACTTCACACTGGGGAGAGAATTTTTAAATGTCCAGACGGGGAGAAGGGCTATAAAAGTTCTGGTGAATTCCATCATTCCATCAATGTATTTACATTGAGGAGAAACCATTCAGATGCTGTATCTGTGGGTCTGGGTTCGGCGTTCAGCTCATCTCAGTGTCCACCAGCGAATTCACACAGTGGAAAGACTGTACACTTGCTCCGAGTGTGGGAAAGGATTCACTGATCCATCCCACCTTACTGTATACCAGTGGGTTCACACAGCGGAAAGACCATTCACCTGTTCTGAGTGTGGGACAGGATTTACTCAGTTATCAGATGACCTGTCCGAGCAAAATGTTCACACTGGTGAGAGACCATTCACATGCTCTCACTGTGGAAATGGGTTCAAGCAATCATCCCAACTCACTGTACACCAAAGAGTTCACACTGGGGACAGACCATTCAAGTGGAGGAAAAAATTCATTGGTTAATTCAGCCTGCCAGAACAGCTGTAAATTCACACTGAGGCAAGACCGTGTAAATATCCAGACTGTGAGAAGTGGTTTCAAAGTTCAGGAACTTCATGTCCCATCTATGCATTCACACTGACAAGAGACCATTCTGGTGCTCTCCCTGCGGGATTCAATTATCTCAATTCACTGTACGTGAGCATGTTCACACTGCGGACAGACCATTCGCCTGCTCCAAGCAGAGGAAGAAATTCACTTGGGCAACCTGCCCACTGACATATCAGCACGTACGTGATGAAATAGAATGACTTGAGTTTACTGTTCATCCCATCTATGACTGAGCCATGTTCATTGGGGTCTGTTTCTGCTGATGTTCACAAACTATATCTCAGTTGTATACGTTAATATTCTGGATATAAAATATCAAATAAATAAGCTTGGTGTTAAGCACCTTTATAACACCTCTGACATAAGTTAGTTCCTTTTGAAGGGTTCTCCTTCTCTGACCCTCCATTCCACCTCCAACCACAACTGCGAGGAGCTCATGTTAATAAGGTTGAGAGACAATCTCAACAGCTGTCGGACAGTTTTGCGGCATCTGCAGAGGGGACAGAACAGCCACAAAGGGCTGAACGACCACCAGCGCCCCCTGTGCTCAGTAACGCGGGGACACTGCACCAAACACTGTGAATGATGATGCTCATCCCAGGGCAGCACAGAATGGGAGAGTAGAGCCACAATGGGCTGAATGGCCAGCAGCGCCGCCAGTGCTCAGTTACGCGGGCACACTACACCATTCACTCTGAATGATGATGCTCACGCGGGCCCGCCGCAGGTGGAGATAACTCTGACTTCCCAACTCACAATGGGGCCCGGCTGATTGACGGCAACTCCGGACCAATAGGAGGTGGGAGGGCGGGCCTGGATGACCGTCGCTGACAGGTGGCCCTCCAACCAATCGGAGTAAGTGAGGGGGCGGGACTCGCGCTAATACACGTGCCCATGAACTCCGCAGGCGCAGTGACTGAAACCTCAGGGACAGGAGGAAATGACGGTCAGGGGGAGTGTATCAGAGATGGTGTGGTCTGGGAGGTTTCATAAACACCCTGTGCAGGTTGATGGAGCACAAACGGAAGCTCCCGGTCCCGTTGGCAGCAGGCTTTCATACGGCGACAAACCACCATTTTTTATTGGGAGTAGGGAGTAATGTTCCCGTGACGCATGCGTGGCCGCTATTTCATAGGGATAATTTCTAGCACTGCGCTTGCGCATCCTTTAACAGCGGCCAGAAAGGGACAATAAGACTATTCAGTATGTCGAATCTACTTCGCTATTCCATCATAGAATAGTACAGCACAGGAACAGGCCCTTCAGCCCACCATTTCTGCACTGATGATGGTGTCATTCTAAACTAATCCCATCTGCTAGCACATGGTCTGTATTCCTATATCCACTGCCTGTTCGTGCATCTGTCTGAATGCTTCTTAAACTTTGCTATTGTACCTGCTTTTACCACATCCCCTGGCAGTGCATTCCTGGCACCTGTCATGCTTTGTGTTAAAAAAAAATGTTTTACACATCTCATTTAAACTTTTCCCCCTCGGACATTAAAAGTATACCCCTAAGTATTTAACATTTCCACCCTGAGAGAAAGATTCTGACTATCAATGCCTTACAATTTTATGGCTATCTACTCGGGTCATCCCTCAGCTTTTGACACTCTCGTGAAAACATTCCAAAGTTTTTCTAATCTCTCCTTATACCTAATGCACACCAAGGCAGCCAACGTCCTGATAAACCTCTTTTGAATCCTCTCCAAAGCCTCCATATCCTTCTTATAGTGTGATGAGCAGAACTGTACACAATATTCCAAATGAGGCCTGACTAAACTTTTATACAGCCAAAACATGTCTTGCCACCTTTTATGCTCAGTGCCCTGATTGATAAAGGTAAGCATGCTTCATGCTTTATTCACCACCTTATCCACTTGTGTTGCCAGTTTGTGGAAGCTATGGGTTTGTATATCAATGGTCCAAAGGCACCTGTCATTTACTGTATATTTTTCTCTATCATTTGACCTGGCAAAATGCATCACCTCATACTTGTCTGGATTAAACTCCATCTGCCATTTTACTGCCCAACATTACAACTGTTCTAAGATAACAAAGAGATCTTGATCAATTGGGTCAATGGGCTAAGGAGTTTAATTTGGATAAATATGAAGTATTGGGTTTTGGTAAAACAAACAAGCGCAAAACTTAGAGTCATAGAGCTATACAGCGTGGAAACAGACCCTTTGGTCCATGCTGACCAGGCATCCTAAATAAATCACGTCCCATTTGCCAGCATTTGGCCCATATCCCTCTAAACCCTTCCTATTCATCTCCCCATGTAGATGCCTTTAAAATGTTGTAATTGTACCAGCCTCCTCCACTTCCTCTGGCAGCTCATTCCATACACGCACCACCCTCTGCGTGAACAAGTTGCCCCTTAGGTCCTTTTTAAATCTTTCCCCTCTTGCCTTACACCTCTAGTTTTGGATGCCCCCACACCATGGGAAAAGACCTTGTCTATTCACACTATTCATGCCTGTCATTACTTTCTAAACCTCTATAGGTCACCCCTTAGCCTCTGGCGCTCCAGGGAAACCAGCCCCTCCCTATTGCTCAAACCCTCCAACCCTGGCAACATGATTGTAAATCTTTTCTAAACCCTTTAAATTCACAAATCCTTCCTATAGTAGGGAGAACAGAATTGCATGCAGCATTCCAAAAGTGACCCGTACAGCCACAACATGACCTCCCAACTCCTATACTAAATGCACTGACCAATAAAGGCAAGCATGCCAAACACTACCTTCGCTATCCTGCAACTCCGCTTTCAAGGGACTATGAACCTGCACTCCAAGATCTCTTTGTTCAGTAACACTCCCCAAGACCTTACCATTAAGTGTATAAGTCCTGCCTTGATTTGCCTTTCCAAAATGCAGCATCTCATATTAATCTAAGTTAAGCTCCATCTGCCACTCCTCACCCATTGACCGTTCTGATCAACATTCCATTGTACTCTGAAGTAACCTGCTTTGCTGTCCGCTACACTTGCAATTTTGGTTTCATCTGCAAACTTACGAACCATACCTCCAATCTTCACATCCAAACCATTTATATAAATGATGAAAAGCAGTGGACCCAGCACCGATTCTTGTGGCACACCGCTGGTCACAGGCCTCCAGTCTGAAAAGCAGCCCTCCACCATCACCCTCTGTTTTCTACTTCGAGCCAGTTCTGTATCCAAATGGCTAGTTCTCCCTGTATTCGATGTGATCGAACGTTGCTAACCAATCTACCATGAGGAACCTTGTCGAATGCCTTACTGAAGTCTATATAGATCACGTCCACCGCTCTGCCCTCATCAAACCTCTTCGTTACTTCTTCAAAAACCTCAATCAAATTAGTGAGACATGATTTCCCAGCACAAAGCCATGTTGACTATCCCTAATCAGGCCTTGCCTTTTCAAATACATGGAAATCCTATCCCTCGGGATTCCCTCCAACAACTTGCCCACCACCGATATCAGGCTCACTGTTCTATAGTTCCCTGGCTTTTCCTTACCACCATAGAGGCACCACATTAGCCAATGTCCAGTCTTCCAGCACGTCACCTGTAGCTATTGATAATACAAATATCTGAGCAAGGGGCCCAAGCAATCACTTCCCGAGATCCCCCTCGAGTTCTAGGGCACACCTGATCAGGTTCCAGCGATTTATCCACCTTTGTGTATTTTAAGACATCCAGCACCTCTTCCTCTGTAATATAGACATTTTTCAAGGTAGCGCCATTTATTTCCCCATGTTCTATATCTTCCGTATCTTTCTCCACAGTAAACACTGATGCAAAATACTTGTTTCGTATCACCTGCATGTGCTGTGGTTCCACATGTAGCCAGCCTTGCTGATCTTTAAGGGGGCCTGTTCTCTCCCTAGTTACCGTTTTGTCCTTAATGTAATTGTAGAATCCCTTTGGATTCTCCTCAACCCTGTTTGCCAAAGCTCTCTCATATCCCCTTTCTGTCCTCTTGATTTCAATCTTAAGTGCACACCTACTGCCTTTATACTCTTTTAGGGATTCACCACGATCTTTGCTGTTTATACCTGATATATGCTTCCTTCTTATTTTTGACCAAAACCTCAATTTCTGTAGTCATCCAGCATTCCCTACACCTACCAGCCTTGCCCTTCTCCCTAACAGGAACATACTGTCTTTTGACTCTCATTATCTCATTTTTGAAGGCTTCCCATTTTCCAGCCACCCCTTTAGCTGTGGGCATCTGCCCCCACTTAACTTTTGGAAGTTCTTGCCTAATACTATCAAAATTGGCCTTCCTCCAATTTAGAACTTGAACTTTTAGATCTGATCTCTCCCTTTCCATCACTATTTTAAAACTAATAGAATTATCGTCACTGGCCTCAAAGTGCTTCCCCCACTGACAACTCAGTCACCTGCTCTGCCTTATTTCCCAACTGTAGGTCAAGTTTTGCTTTTTCTCTAGTAGGTACATCCACGTACTGAATCCGAAAATTTTCTTGTGCACACTTCGCATTTCCTCTCCATCCAATACTTTACACTATGGCAGTCACAGTCTGCATTTGGAAAGTTAGAATCCTCTGCTATTACCACCCAATTATTCTTACAGATGTAATAGAATCCATGTCATAGAATCCCTCTAGTGTGGAAACAGGCCATTTGACCCAACAAGTCCACACTGACCCTCAGAAGATCATCCGACCCAGACACACCCCCCTACCCTATCAATGTAACCCTGCATTCCCCATGGCTAATCCACGTAGAATGGACATCTTTGGACTGTGGGAGGAAACCCTTGCAGACATGGGGAGAATGTGCAAACTCTATGCAGAGAGTTGGCAGAGGCTGGAATCGAACCTGAGTCTCTGGTTCCATGAGGCAGCAGTGCTCACCACTGAGCCACTCCTTAGACATCTCCTTACAAATTTGTTTCTATA